CACTATATACTGAAAGTGGTGTGGTACTGTTCACGATTCACACTATATACTGAAAGTGGTGTGGTACTGTTCACGATTCACACTATAAACTGAAAGTGGTGTGATACTTTTCAGATTCACACTATGCACTGAAAGTGGTGTGGTACTGTTCAAGATTCACACTATGCACTGAAAGTGGTGTGGTACTGTTCAAGATTCACACTATGCACTGAAAGTGGTGTGGTACTGTTCAAGATTCACACTATGCACTGAAAGTGGTGTGGTACTGTTCAAGATTCACACTATGCACTGAAAGTGGTGTGGTACTGTTCACGATTCACACTATGCACTGAAAGTGGTGTGGTACTGTTCAAGATTCACACTATGCACTGAAAGTGGTGTGATACTTTTCATAATTCACACTATAAACTGAAAGTGGTGTGGTACTGTTCTAAATTCACACTATACACTGAAAATGGTGTGGTACTGTTCACGATTCACACTATACACTGAAAGTGGTGTGGTACTGTTCACGATTCACACTATAAACTGAAAGTGGTGTGATACTTTTCAGGATTCACACTATACACTTAAAGTGGTGTGGTACTGTTCTAGATTCACACTATACACTGAAAGTGGTGTGGTACTATTCAAGATTCACACTATGCACTGAAAGTGGTGTGGTACTGTTTAAGATTCACACTATACACTGAAAGTGGTGTGGTACTGTTTAAAATTCATACTATACACTTCATAAATACATGCAAAAGCTTTATTACGCATAGTTGATATTATAGTAATAAAATTAATGAAATTAAAAGGTTTGTTTTCAAGCATTCATGCAAAGTTACATGAGGTATATCTGTGCTAACTGTCCCTAATTTTGAACTAATAAACTAGAAAGAAGGCAGTTAGTCAACAGCATCCAGATAATCTTTGGGCTACTCTTGTCTGATAAGACAATACTTAAACCAATACTTCATATGCTCAATGCTTCAGTGTAATATAGTTGTTTTTTGTCTTAAAAACTAAAATTCTGATGAATGTAATTGTTTAAAATGACTTCCATCTATTAAATCATTTTAATAAGATGTTATCAACTATAAATGTATTTGTGAATATATGTAGTGAAGTAGATTAATCAAAATTAACACATATTTTAAACTACTAACAATATAGGGTCAATAACTTTTAAACCAATACTTCATATGCTCAACACTTCAGTGTAACATAGTTTTGTAATTCAAACTGAATTACTTTACAAAATAAATTCTTAATTTGAATAATAAAAAAAAAACTCTTATCAATGTATTATTGTTGTCACTGTTCTCAACCTACAATTCAAACATGTAGTATACCATTTTGAGGATAATTTAATATCAAATTATTAGTTTTACAAAAACATTTGTTCAGTGTTCAATCCTAAAATTACTGATGAACATGGACTGTTTTTAGTTAGTTTTTTAACTATATTTTTCTAAATTATTTATGTGCCATACTGCTTTTTTGAATCCATTACTTTGCTGCTTATAGGACCTTTAATGACATACAAAAAAATTTATATTGCAATTAATCTAATTAAACACTGCTGAGTACGTACGGTACAAAAAAACAAAACAAATTATTTCAGCAAACTTTTCTTGGCAGTTCTTAACCTACTGTGCTGTAACTGACAAAACAAAATTACTGCTATAGTTTTATATGTGGGCCCTACTCGCAATAAAAGGAGTAAAAGTAAGTTCAAAGTAAGGCTAAAATAAATTGAGAAATCCCACAACCAGTTTTACGACAAAATACTAAAATAAATTTAAAATTATATTACCTCTCTGGACTGTCAACCCGAAGAGGTAATGCTATGTCTTTTTCCACACAATGACCCAATACATTTTTAGATTCTTCAGTCTCCTTTGGTTCAGAAAATGAAAACTGTTTCACCTAATTAAAAATCAAACTGCATAAATGTGATGAAAATAAAATTGAAACATTAATGGTTTTGGGAGATAGAAAAGATTTTGCTCCCGACTTAAGGTAACCCTCCAATATTTCAAAAATAATTTCAAATAATTAAGCCTAAATCGAAAGTTTAACCTCTTTTCTACATAAATTACTAATTTTTGTCTTAAAATCTTTACTAATTAACCTGTAGTAATTCATTAAAAATAAAAGTCTAATTTATTTTCATTTGGTTTCCACTTCACCATTAAAGCTAATATCAGCATGAAATTTAGCACACTTGTTGATATTAAACTCTTCCATAGCTTGAATATTTTTGAATTAAAAAATCTTTACCAATTGTCTGGTTATGAGTTTAATCACCACTAACGAAGGTATTATTTAAAATTAATTGCTCATAGCTTGTTAATGTTGCAGAAAGTTTTTAATTCTAGCTATGAGGATGTTCACAAAGAGTATGTGTATCAATTTTCACATGTTTTCATTATTCCAAAGTAAAGTTATGGTGTTAAAATAGTTTATGTTATGTATTTCTTTATCCCTGCCATATTAATTAATTATGCATATAACATATATGACTGAAAGTGTACTTTGAGAAATTGCGACATCATACATTTGTTTTGTGCTCAACTTGAAGGTTACAATAAGTGTTTAACAGTGTTTCCTTAGCATGTAAATTTGCCCAATTTTAAGAGTCGGTGCTACCTTAAATCAAATAAATTAAAAACAAAACATCAATATATTAATCCTTTATAACAGTATAACTTGAAACAACATTAATCCCAAATTATAAAAGTTATGACATATATACCACAACTTTCTTTAATTGGCTCTTTTCAGTTTGGCGTAATCTCAGAGGCTTCACATCTTCAGTATTCTCTATCAAATCTTCAGGAGATCTAAAAACAGAGGGTAATATAGTAAATTAATTTGGGCTGTGGTAATCAATGCAAGTTTCCCATAGCAGAAACTTGCCCAAAATAATTTGAAATGGGGGGTTATGGAGTATTTGAGGCAAAAAAAAAAGAAACAACAACAACAAACTAATAGATACTTTTAAATATTATGTTATGCTTACGTGCACCTACTCAGATGGATTCTGGGATAGGACAAAATACCAAAAAGACAAGATCTAGAGAAAAAATATAAGCAAAATTTTCGTTTGCTTTTATTATTTTCTTTTTCATGACATGATTTTTCAAATTTACCCTAAAGTGGTAACTGCTCCCAAATTTAGCCTGTGTTATCTCCTCCAATATAAATTAAAAATCATTGTTACAGGTTCCAAAAACCTTAAACCAAAATAGAAAAATCAAGCAATTTAAGTTTAGGTCGTTATAACTACAACTAAGAAGAAGCAATGATTTTCAGAAATCTTTTTGTAAAGTTATTAGTTTAGGTGGCCTCAGAAAATACTCTTTCAATCTTAGTTTATTTTCAATGGTAGCTGCAATTATCATCAATAATCCTTAATTATCAAATTGACTGAATGTCCACCCCTCTTCAGTACTAATTACCATTCAGTGTCCTTTCAGGAATCCCTAAAAGAAGATACAAAATTCCCTGACCAATAAATTTGAATCCAACAAGATATTATCTGTCTAGATCAGTATTTGAGGCTAAATTATAGTTTAAGTTGTCTAAATGTTAAAAATCACACTTAAGTACATTCCTATAACATGAAATAAAAATCAATGTTGACCTCCATATATCTTGCCTTACAACCAACCAAAACAACCTTTACATTTATTTATAAATACAATAGTTTAAAT